ATGTGCTGCTGCTGGCTTTGGCATTGAGGGGCTAAGGTGCAGGGTTCAAGGTTTGGGGCCCCGGTTGATTGTTAAGGGTTTAGGATTTAGGGCTAGGGTTGAATGTTTTCGTACCGGGGCCGTACTTCTTCTAACAGGGTTTCGGGGAGAATTGATATTCGATGATATTCGTATGTATCATTCCGACTCCTTCATTGGGAACACGTGAGACCAGTAGGGTGTGGGAGAACTTGTGACATGCATTGCCTCGGTCCAAACGAGGGTCTGCACCGCAGGTCTTTAGGGTTCAGGGTTAAGGCTTCCATGAGACTCTGGTTTAGGGTTTACCCATAGGCCCCAAAGTAAGTTCCTTGTTGGGATTACCTTATAGGATTCTAAGTGTAAACCCACAAAAAGGAACCACTTAGGGGCCTATGGGTAAGGGTTTAGGCGGCACACGCCGGAGGTACGTTAGCAGGCTTGTCCCCGGCCGGCTCCTTAATGAGCAATCCTGAATTCCCGATCTACATGTCTTGGAACCCACAGTTCTGAAGTTGCAATCTAAACCCCTCAGTTAGGGTTTGTGGTTTAGGGCTTTCAGGGAATTTGGGGTTTAGGCTTCAGGGGAGTCTTGCACTGCACTTCTCAGGCCATATGCACGCGCATCTACTGGTTGACAACTCAAGCGCGAGCGATGATTCGGCCAAAGGAAGCTTTCCGTTCGTGCCTGGATCTTTGTTTAGAGTCTAAAGTTTAGAGCCCTTCACCTGTGTGGTTAAACGGTTTAGGGTTCAGGGTCGCCTTGTGTCTGGCTGTGTTGTCCGCTCTGTGTATTGCTTGTGCCTGGGGTTGGGACACTGCTAACCCTAGGTCATGAACATGTGCATACCCGCAGTGCAAAGTTATTTTTCGCATGCGCATGCAATATTCTGTTTTTGGCTTTGGTGTTTTTGTGTTTGTGTTTTTGTTTTGGTTTTTTGGCTTTGTTAAGGGAAAAGGTTGGTGTGTTTTTTAGGTCTTTAATGACAGCAATGCTCCTAAGCGTAAGAGTTTACAGCGATGTCGTCGAAGCGGAGTACCTGAACTGCCCAAAACGCAGCGTCAGAGCTTGACCCTTTAACCTCCTTATATGGCTGCTGAATACCGCGCACTGTACAGACACACCGCTTCAGACGCGTATCAACTCCTCTGCAATCATCTTGGGATATCTTGGAAAGCTTGTTTAGAGTTTGGGGAAGATGTGGTGGTTTGTAAGGTTTAGGGTTGAGTTTGTAGCGTATTGTGGACCCTTAGACCCAACATTGTAGGATCGTGAGTTACCATTAGGGTTCCCCGTCAACAATTTCACGTTAAAGAACTTTCCGTGTTCCTGGATGCCGAATAGCCGGCACCTCCTCACTGGTTTGCTTTAGGAGGTTTAGGATCTAGGGCCATTTAGGGTGTAGGGCCCAGTGGAGTTGGGTTTTGAGGTTGTGTTGCTTACATGGTTAGGGCTAGGGGCTGTGATTTAGCTTCGGGTGTAGAGTTTGTGGTCAGGTCGAAGTCGACGCGGAAGTTTCAGAAAATCAGAGTCCTCCATGGTAGGCTGTGAATCATAGGGCCCTTACTATAATGCAGGGCCCTATGAACCCTAAAGCCTGAACTTTTTCCATCGAAGTATGTCTACATGGGGGGCAAGCAACAACCCAGGATCGGCCCTTCCGAAGGACCCCCTACTTCAAGGATCCACGGGACCTAGTAGCTAGGGTTATGGATGTGGTAAGTATACATAGAAGTACTCATCATCCCAATTCAGGTACTTATCACCTTACTTACTAAGTCCCATGATCCTCCAAGCAGGCCAGGTCGGCCGAGCGTTCGGAACCCTAAGCTTATAAACCCTAAACCCTAAACCCCAAACCCTAAACCCAACATGACAGCGGGAGCCCTTTGTCTTCGTAGGTTACTGGCTGAATCCTCGACTCGGGTAGTTCTCTAAAGTAGGGTCCCTTTTTAACTCGGATCTGTTTTTTATAAGGGTGCCGTTGTTTATTGGGAGCCTAAAAGGGGCCCGCATTTAGAGCACTACCCAATCTAGAACCCTTATAGTACCCTTTTTGTCGCCCTCTAGAAAAACCCTCTTTAGCCCCTTTAACCCCCAAACCCTAAACCCTAAACCAAGGAACCCTAAAAAAGGGACCCTAAACCCTAAACCCCCAAACCCCCAAACCCCCACACCCTAAACCAATGCTCAGGGAAGAGGCTGCCTCGGGCAAGATCCCCGAGACGGATCCTGAACAGCGACTTAGCTCGCAAGGGTTTAGGGGTTTAGCGGTTTAGGGTTGCGGTTAGGGTTTTGGGTTTAGGGTTTAAGGTTTCAGGTTTAGGGTTTAAGGTGTCGGGCTTAGGGCTTACCCTCTACCCTAAACCGTAAACCTTAAATGGTTTAGGGCTTAGGCGTTGCTGATTGCTTCGGGCCTTCATGCTTCGGGGGCCGGAATACTTTTGAATCCCTTCATAGAGAGGCCCATAACATGACACGATTATTCTGCTTGCCCACGGCTACGGATCAACCGCGGATTTTTCACGGTTTTTCCCATGGCTACGGATCCAAACTGCCCCTTATCTGGGTTTAGAGGTTTTGGGGTGTATATAGCGCTGGGGTTTGGGGTTAGGGTTTAGTTCCGCTCAGCCCCCCGTCTTCAACTGCTCACGGACTTACAGTTGCACCCCGCTTCTTGTTGGGGCCACTTGGCCAAAGCGTTGGCGGCATCTGCACAAGCAAAGACCGCTAATACTACTGCAGGAAATGGGATGGGTGGTGCAGCAGTACTGTACTTGTAGTAGCAGTACTTGGTTTTTGCATGCTTTGCGGAAGTTGCAGCATGTTTGTATTACCCTTGTGCAGGCAACAGTGCGGTAGCAGCAGTGTTAGAACAGTGATGCTACCATTTGTGCCGGTGCTGATGTTTGGGGAAATGGTAGTACTTCTAGCAGCAGCGGTTGTAGCAGTTGTAGCGGTAGTAGCAGCAGTGGCAGCAGTGGCAGTAGCAGCAGTAGTAGCAGTATCAGCAACAGCAGCAGCAGCAGCAGCTGCAGGAGGAGGAGGAGGAGTGGTGGTAGTAGTAGTAGTAGTAGTAGTAGTAGTCGTAGTAGTAGTAGTTCGTAGTCGTAGTCGTAGTCGTAGTCGTAGTCGTAGTCGTAGTCGTAGTCGTAGTCGTAGTCGTAGTCGTAGTCGTAGTCGTAGTGGTGGTAGTAGTAGTAGTAGTAGTTGTTGTTGTTGTGGTGGTTGTGGTGGTTGTTGTGGTTGTTGTGGTTGTTGTGGTTGTTGTGGTTGTGGTTGTGGTTGTTGTTGTTGTTGTTGTTGCGCAGGATGCCTTAGATCCACAGCGCGTGGCTGCGGCATGGCAGTTGGCGAGGCTGTGTGGCCAGGCATGTTAGCAGACGTGGGCTCAATTTAGCAGGTTGTTGGGGCGCTGGTGATGCTAGGGCCGAGTTTTGGTGACTTCCTAAGTTCAAGCCTCATGCCGAACATTTTTCGAGAGATCCTTGGGATATTGCGCCTGTTGTTCTTACGGTTCAGTTGGCCGCTTGCAACTGATTTTGCAAGCTTTCCCTAGGCAAAGGCCGACTGCCAGTGATTGAGAAGGCCGTGGCTGCCCTTGACCAGTTGCTTGGCACGGAAGCGGTCTTTCGGTTTAGGAGACTAGGCTTCGGGTTTTAGGGTTTAGGGCTTTGAGTTTGGGTTTAGTGTAGGCTTAAGGGTTTAGGTTTATGTCTCGCGGTTTGGGGTTATTTCAGACCCTTCTGGCACATGAGAGCTCCACGTCGAAAGGGGTTTAGGCTTTACGGCAGGGCTTGGAGAAAAGGGGCTCATAGGGTTTATGGATGCCTGCAGCCTCCGCCCGTCTCCGCGAATGCAACCAGGAACCCGAGGCCCGCCGCATGAAGCCTTCCCCAAAGAAGCTCAATCCTTTAGAGCCTAAAGCCCTATTCGACGGCACAACACCGCACAGCCAACATAAATAAACACGTCAGTACGGGCCAACTTAGGGACGAAGATGCAAAGGTCTGGCTGCGTACCAGGTATTATGATGGTAGCACAGTGGCGCTTTGTTACTTTGAGCTTCTGATGCCTCTTGGTGCCTGTGAAAACTGCTCAAGAACGGTCAGGCGTTCCCGAAACGACTCTATCAAACTTGTGTTATGCTTGTCCAATACTTGAGGCTTCCATCTGTGGTTACTATATACATATATACAAGTCCTAGGCACTATTGCGTGACAAGCCTACAATCGAAAGCCTCTGCCCGACCTTCGTCTCCCTAAGCCCTACTCCTCAGCGGAAATTCTCGCGCATGCCGATTCTCAGTACCTACAGGTCTTTCAATGAAGACGAACCTCCAACTTTAAACCTTAAGCGTACTAAACTGAAGCTCAAAATCCTGAACCCTTGTCTTTTTGTACTGCTAGCTAAAACAAGACAGACCCTTTTCATCAAGCTTGAACTCCCGAGCATCTAGCCGAGCAGCAGAGGCTCCTCCAACTTCGGGGCCGGAATGTCACCGGAGAGAGTTTGTGGGTTTCTGCATCGACTTTTGTGATTTGGGTTTCGGAGGTTTAGTAAAGTCTATGGATCGGGAAGATTAGGCTTGTCATTTCCGCGTCAGTTTTTTAGCAGCTTCACAAGGACGCGGAAGAGGACGGCCAGCCAACATTGGAGGACATAGACGGTTCAGTTTCGGCGCATGCTGTTGAGGGATTCATGGGGATAGGGGTATACATCAGGAATCAGGAGATGAGCGCTCAGATGATGTTGGTTTGTTTGGTCTTCTGGGTCTGGGTCTCGGAAGTTAAGCTTAATAGGCCTCCGGAGATTTAAGTTTGGCCTATGCTTTATTCTACGGTTTAGGCACGTCTTGGTTAGGGGTTGAGGGTCTGCAGAATCCACTTGTGTCCCCCCAGCGCTTTTACCGTGTTCCACTCGTGCCTTCCAAGACCCGACCCCGCGCCACTGGAGCATTTGCAACCTGGGAGCTCAGGTGATGCATGTCCTCGACATGTTGGGTCCTGCGGCTGCACCGTTCTTGTTGCAGACCCTCGTCGCAAGCCAGAAGTTTGTTCCGGTGGCCAGTTGCAGTAAGTCGAATCACATTCTAGCTGAACTCACACAAGACGGCGCACTTCGCAACACACCTGTGTTTGACGCCAATTACTTCCTGTGAAGCTCTCTTCATTTCATTTGTGGCCACATGCCCGGCCAACGCCTAACGGAGAAAGCCCAGAATCGCCCCAGCCCAGACTGCCGTCAACAACGCCTCGACAACCCATGAGACCCCACCCGGACCTCGCGAACACCAATTCCACGAATCAACGAAGGAAGCCGGGGCTGCAGCAATCTTCAGATGCCGTGCACGGCCTCGGCAGATGCCTGGATATGGCAGGCAGCACTGACAGCGGGGTTGGGGTTAAGGCTAGAGCAATGTAAGTGGCATCGCATCTTCTTCGTTAAGTTGAGCCTTAGCCTTCACAGCTGTTGCCGAGATTTTCGGTTTCCAAAGAAGGATCAGAGTCCGGGTTCAAAAGAAGGATCAGCTTGCTTGGCTCGGGGGTTGTGAGCACAGGGACAGCATTGCTCTTGCTCATAGGTCTCGAAGGGAAAATAGCGGGGACACGCAATGCCACCCAGAAGACCTCAATATAGCATTCCAGGGATACCTCCTAAAGTTTCCTTACAGGGCTTGAATAATTGAGACTAGGGTTCAGGATTTGCACAGTGTTGAAGGGTTTCGGTGTTGTTTTAGTAAGACCCTTTCGTGCTCTAGCGATTAGCTCCTGGTGGGTGAAGCAGACACGTTTTCAAGGAGGTTGAGGCTTTAGCACGAGACGAGTGCATGACAAGAGGAACTGCCCTCTGCGACAGTACACCCTTGCGCACGGACGCACAAGCTCACATGAGTACAATACAACCAGAGAGAGACAGAGAGAGAGGGAGAGAGAATTCCAGCCGTCCCATAATCCAGGTTTGACGAGACATCGGTATCTGCATGATCTCTTGCATCAATTGTTTTGAATCAAAGCGCATTCACGGTCTTGTAGACTTTCGCCAACCATGACGTGATGACGAAGCGGCATGGCGCTGACAATCTGCAGAATGACCAGGTCATTCGAATATGTGCCTCCTGCCCCTCAGAGGAGTACAATCGTGTCGAGGCCATCTGCACCGAGCGGCACATCACAACAGCCTTTGGTATAAAGGGTGACTTCATGGAGGATATTGAGGGCGACGGCTGGTTTGGCAAGTGACAGACCAGGGTGGTGCAATCCATGGATGTATTGCTGCAGACTTTCAAGACTACAGAGAACACTGTGATGTTCAACTCATACTGACCATGGATGGTAGCAGCAAGAACTGCGAAAAGGAGAGAGAGAGAGAGAGAGAAGATCCACGATCTGAAGGAAGTGCTCCGACATCATTATCGGAATGCGGGGTTGGCTTTTGAAGTGCATCACCTGGCGCTGTACATCGCAGACTTGAAGGAGGAGATTAGCAAGAAGCCCTCCGAGGAGAGCGCAGTTGAAGTTGCCTACCAGAAATTCCTTGCCACCGGTATCAGGGAGGGCCTGCATTGCATGCCCGTGCCTGGTCCTTCCACCTGAAGTCCCTTGCCTTGGTGCGACTGTCGGCGGAGTCGGGGCAGCTCTTGCTCGACCGCGGAGCGTTGAATCTGCATTGGCCGGGAAGAAAGATGAACGGCTCCGAGCTTGCGATGAGCCATGCGATGAACCGTTTGCGCAGAGGGTGGGCTGGCTCGTTTCCTGCTGTGCCGTCTCGAAACAAGTTGGGCCCATCCTCAACCGTTGGAAGATCCCCGTCAGGTTCGACCCGCAGAGCCCGCTTGTTGCTTGGGCTGTGGATCAGCACGTGGATCTGGAATCGGAGGAAGAGCTCGCCAGATGTCTGCCGGAGATCGCCGAGCAGAAAGGGCAAGAGATCGGCTTGACAGAATGGAACCAGGACGGCAAGATCTGCCTTTCAATCTTCAAGCGGTGGTACCGTGTGCTCGACATCGCAGATGCATCTCAGAGGGAGCGAGAGCTGCAGTGGATTTCAACGGAGGCCAACAAGGCAGGGTTGTCCTTCGACCTGCTCGAGAAAATTCAGAAGCAGCAGGACGGATGGAGGGACGGCAATAATGACGAGGAGTTGCGCCCAGAGGAAATGCTCTACCTGATGCCCAAGGGGCCACCTGGCAATGGCCTCCCTACGAGAGTCAGCTTCGAGGGGTGCATCGTTCCCGGTGCGAGGACTTTTTGGATCTCATTTCCCGCCAAACATGCGCCTTGCTGGGATGCTTTGACGGGAGAGTCGGCGACAGATTCTGTGGCCTGCATCTTCCAAGCCAAGGAAGATGGTCACGAGGAAGACGGCGGTGGAGAAGGGGAACGTGGCTGGCAAAGCAAGTCGCTGGAGAAGGTTCGGAAGGCCGTTGAGAACGGTCAGTGCCTGAAGGTGGCTCTCCCTCCCGGGCGGCTGGGCGCCACCCAGGAGATGGAGCTGGCAAAGGCCAAGGAGATGGGCTGGAGCTACGAAGAGGTGGACGTCTTCGATGTGCTGGATGATCAGTTTCCACGAGGGCTTTTGGTCGACGCCTGGTGCGAGGCGACAAAGTCCTGGCGGAGAGGAACCGTCGAGAAGCAGGATGTTGTGGACATCGAGCAGGGGGACGGTCCCAAGGATGCTGTGGTGCGATGGACTCTGCGATGTCAGCTTGCCAGGCAGATCTTCGATTCCTCGTGCATTTGCAGTACCTCTGCGACCATGAAAGCCATGCTGAATTGTTTCGGTGGTGCCAAGCTGCGTGGGATCCTCATGGAGTGCCTTCCGCACGTCGATGCGCGACATCGGCACCCATCGGCTTCGCCCAGATCTTGTGGCCCTGAGAGCCAAGCAGCAAATCAAGTCCATCGGATCCCTGCACAAGCTCAGAAATCGAATCCTCGATGGCGAGCTCGAGCGAGACATCAACGCGCACCTCGCAGATCCCCGCTGGGAGGTGGAAGTCAGCAAATCCAATTTTCTGGAAATGTACGACGTACATTTCCAGAAAATGGGATTTGCTGACTTCCACCTCCCAGCGGGCCCGCGACAAGCTGACGTGTCACCAGAGAGAGCGTCTTAGTGCCATCAAAGGCTCGGACATGGTGCGCTTGTTTGCTCCTGCCGGTGCCGGCAAGACCTTCGTGGCGGTCGAGCGGGTGATCGATCTCTGAATCCTGGGGCTGATGAGCCAGCTCCTCGCGTCCTGTATGTAGCCGCTACCGTCGAGCTGATCTACTACTGCGTCCAGTGGCTGGCCGTGCGCATCGTCTCTCAGAAGAAGGATTTGGAACTTCTTTCTGCGTTGGCGGCCGGGGCGATCCCTCCACTGGTGGAGCTGTTGAGCAGCAGTAATACGGATGTCCAGAGAGAGGCCGCAGCTGCGCTTTGGATTCTGGCGTTAAGCGCAGACAACAAGGCTCTCATCGCCTTGGCCGGTGGGATCCCTCCACTGGTGGAGCTGCTGAGCAGCGGTAACAGTGTGCTGGAGGCCGCAGCGGCGCTTCGGAATCTGGCTTAAGCGCAGACAACAAGGCTCTCATCACCGAGGCCGGTGGCATCCCTCCGCTGGTGAGTTGTGTGACGACAGGCACGGATATAAGGACCCAGCACTGTGCTGCAGACGCTCTCGGCCGATGGATGGCGGATTGAGTGATCGTCGACCACGAGGTCATCCCCTTGCCGGAGGCCACCGCTGATTGCGGCTGCGGGAGGCGTCCGCGCAGGCGCTTCGGCCGTTCTCGTCCCGCGAGGACACCCGTGCGGCCATTGTGGAAGCTGGCGGGATCCCTGAACTGGCATGGTTGTCAACCCGTTGCCACCCCGTTTTTCAGCACAGCGTCGTCGGGATCTTGGACGACCTCGCGGAGAACGCGGAGAACGTGGCGGCCATCGTGGAAGCCGGGGCGGTCCCTGACCTTGTGAAACTGATGGGCGATGGCACCGACAGAGCTCAGGAGGCGGCCGCGGAACTTTTGCTCAAGTTGCGCGCCCATCCGCAGGGCGTGAGCGAGGCGAAGGCTTCGGGAGACCTGGGTGTAGCCACCGAGCTGGAAAAGAGAGGGGAGCCTCAGTCTTTCCGAACCTGCCGTAGGCTGAAGCAGTGAGGGTTGATGAGGGGACATGTCTAAGTTGTGCTGTAGATGCCTTTCTGCATGTGTTATGATGTGTTACACCGGCCCCGATGCCCGAGATGTAGAGCAACAAGCATTGTGGAGGGGACTCCAGGTGCATCATATTTTTGTTTACCCTATTGCCTATTGCCGTTCGCTGAAGCCCTCTCCACAGAACAAATCGTTGCAGCATGTGTCCTTTCACTCTCGGCAGCTGGGCTGAGTAACAGCCCGAAAGTTCAGAGAGACGAAAGGTCCGCTTGTACAAGGGGGGGACCAAAGCCTAGGACAACCCCTTCCTTTCAGCAGCCCCCTTGCCGACATGCTGCTCTGACTTACGTAGTGTTTTTCCGTGTTGGTTACTTTTCGCTTTGCTGCAGAGCGGGGGGACGCTTAGTAGTAATGGTGTCCAAGTGCATGTCCTTGCTGTAGAGGGGAACCACGTACCTTGCATTTTTAGTCCTCGTGGCTAGTTTGGGTTATACACCTTTTGGGTACGTGGAGTCGATCTTTCACTACTTTGGTACGTGGGGTCGTGCGCACGTCCTGGTACGTGGGGACGCTCCCCTAGCCGACTGTTGCCTTCCCCCGAAAGCCCCGGAAACTGGGGGGCCCTTAGGGGCCGGGAGGCTTGAGACCCCCTTAAGCCCGAAGGAAGAAGAGAGTTCTCTTTCCAGCCCTTCGTCATTCGACTTCTCGCTCCCCTTGTCTTGTCATACGAAGAGGTAGGCTGGGGCCCGGAGACCTTAGAGAGAGCGCCTCACATGTAAGTGAGCTTGACCATGTTCGAAACTTCAGCTCCGACCAAACTCCAGCTTTTCCCAAACCTGCCCAAAAGCTAAGCCCTCGGCCCGAAACCTCCCGGTCCCAGGGGACGAGGTCACTAGCGAGGCCCTGGAGGTGTTGGAGGCGGTCTTGCAGCCCGGCCGCAGCAGGTTCCGAGGGCTTTCGGTTGAGCGCCGGCGAGCCTCAACAATGGCTTGCTTATGATTTTGCGTTTTATTAACGCTAGTTGGTTGTTCCGGTCGATTCTGCCTGCATGCAGACATCGCGAAACTGCCATGAACTGCCGTGGGGCTTAAACGCTGCAGGGCTATAAGCCTGCCCAGTGCTAAACCTGACACTTGATCTTAGCGTCGAAGGTCGAAATCTGAAACCCTGTGAGCCCACAACCAGCTCCTGGGACCCTTAAACCCTAAACCCTAAACGCGACTGGAATGCCTGCCCCTGGGGCTCTCTGTGGATAACAGCTGCAGAAAAAGGCCCTCAAAAAAAAACGCGACTGGAACGATGCACCAGAGTCCAAGCCGAAACAGGCAGCACTCAAACCCCAGGAAGGGCCGCGAGGATCCGCTTCTTCGGGTCTGCGCCGCAGAAGCCCTGGGCTGCCTCCGCCTGAAGGCCCGTCTCTGACATACCGCCTTTGAGTTTAGAGCATGTAATATGGACTTATGCGTACATGCATGCATGTACGCCAAATCGTGTTTACAAGATCTGTGTGTGTATATATATAGATAGGTAGATAGATAGATAGATAGATACGTATATTCACACATACACATATGCCTTAGCATCGGTATATATCTAGGTGGCAATTTGGGAAACTTTAAGGTTTCCCTTGTGGTTTCTGAGGCAACTAATCATAAATACTTTTCAGGCTGCCAAAACTACAACCCACATATGTAACCGTATGTGTACATGCATGCATGCATGGATGGACGATGCATGTGAGTGTACATGTAAACACACACACACATATATATATACATACATACATACATACATACATACATAAACCGAAAGCCTACGGCATAGGGCTTCGTCCATATGATGCTGTTTAAAGCAGAACGTATAATTTTGAAAGAATCAGAATCAGAACGAGATGATGCCTCAACGAGAACCCTCATTTCCAAGAGCCTCTCAAGTGAATCCTCAGGTTTGGGCAGGCTTTCAGTGCGGGGCTCCGGGCTCAACCGTAGAGTGAGGGAAACTGGCATGCCGAAACCCGTGTCCATAAGTAGCAAGTCGTTTTAAGTACGGGATGGCCAACGTTCCAGAAAGAGTGGCTTGGCAGGATAGCGCTTGGCCGCTGCAGCGCGCAGTGGCCGAGGATCCCGCCACCTGCCTCTTAATGCAAATGCAGGAGACCTGACATCAGCGACACAGGGTCTGGTATGCCTATGGTATGCCTACAGCCGAGGCTTCACTACCACTTGTATGATCATGCATGTACATGCACACGTGCGTGTGTGTGTGTGTGCATATATACGCCTGCAAATCCGTTGGTTATCAAACCCGGTGGCTAGCAAGCGTATTGCTGTCAGCGTTTTCAGAGAGAAAGGCCTGTCTGTGAGTCTGCTGTTGGCCGCTTTCCCATCCAAGCAGTGAAGGGTTGTATACTGCATGCATTCGTTACATGTCGTACTTGATTCAGGGCTAAGCAGAAAGCCAAGACTCAAAATCCCAATGCTACTGCAAGTTTAGTCTTGGTAGTTTCTCAGTCCCAAGATCGAAAAGTGCACACATGTGTATGTATATGTATATGTATATGTATATGTATATGTATATGTATATATATATAATATGCATATGCACATACATATGTATGCATGTATGTATGTATGTATGTATGTATGTGTACATAAATGTATGGATGTATGTAAGTATGCATACAGACACACCTGTTTTCTTCTCCAGCACATTAGGAACGATAGATCCCCGGCCACCAGGCAACCATGCCATGTTGTCTGGGGCTTTGCGGCGGGCTGAGAAATTAGTTGAGAGTAAGCAACCAGCAGGCACAAACATATATTACTTTTACTTTTCTCTGTATGTATATGCATATATATATATAGAGCACCATGAGCCCTTGGATGTTGTGAACTCCAGACGTTTCTGGTCGTGTCAATCACGAAGTCCAAAACTCCTTGAAACCCAGATCATGGTTTCATGGCTCCCAGAAAACACTCAGCGGCTCCGTTCTTCCCAACAGCCTGGCATTGATCACGGGGTTGCTATGGACACACTAATAGAAGCACGTCCAAAAGCCCTAAAAGCTTGCACCCTCCGGCCCGAGTCGCGATTGCACCATCCCGCTTATGTGGTTTAGCGAAGGTCGGTGCTGTCCGCGCCACTGCGCTGCATGCCCTGCTGCGGCTGCTCACTTCCGGGGCGCTGGAGCAAGAGGTGAGCTGACCTGGGCTCTTACTTAATGGACTTTCAGGATTCATGCTAGGATCCCTTGAAATCTCTGCAGCTCTCAAAAGAAGGTTGGACTTCGACTATGTGGCAGGCTCACCAAAACGGAACTCTACCAACACTGAGAAGGGGCCCTGCTTACACTCACCTTGCATGATCGTTACTACCATCAAAACCTTGGAATATATCATCACCATGTCGATAGTTCCTAGTGAGAACGCGGGTGTTGTTGCTTCGTCTGAGCTGGAGTGTCCGTCAGGTTCGGGATTCTTTCTAGGGGTCTTGGGTGATAGTGCTCCTACGGCTTCAGGTTCACGGTGAACCGGCTGTTGCTCAACATGTTGTTACCCACCCAAACTCCGACCTCGATCCCTAAACGATTTGCTCGAGTGTGAAAGTCCAAAACTCGTCCTTCGAAAGAGGTATGGAGCGCCCAAACCCCCCGAAACCCTCAAGTTTAGGATTTCGGTGGTCGTTGCATTGCAGGAGGGGGACACCCACAACCCTTAATTTTTAGGGTTTTCCAGTCATACTCTCGAGCTTCCCCTCTGCGAGGACGGCTGCTTGGAGGCTCTCCGGGCAACCGCCCAAGCAGTGAAGCCCAAAGATCCCGATCGCTCCCTGGCAAGAATCGGGGTTGTCTCCTTGTTGTGGTACGGAGGTTTCGATGACGGGTCTGTTTCCCAAAGCTTGGGAGATCCTTTTTCGGGAGTCTAACAGGATACCCATGACTCGTCTTTTTGCTGTGCTATGAGACCCGTCGTGCCACTTCACGTCGTAGGACCTCCACCCGAGTCGATCAGGAAATCATGAATTCAGAAAGACCGAAAGAAGTAGTTTTGCCCTGAGAACTATTATATTCGACCAGGGTTTTGCAGGTTTGTCCACCTGTTCGAGGGGTATTTGTTGTTGTTGTTGACTCGGTTCAGGATAGCAGCCGCCAGCGTTGCGATCGGAATTGCGAAAACGGCCCTGCCGGAAGGTTATGTTCGCGCTTACGCTGCGGAGCTTTGCCACAGGCTGAA